TTAAATACTAAACTTTATGTTTTAAATACTAAACTTTGTTTTAAATAACCTTTATGTTTTCAATAACAAACTTTGTTTTAAACAACAAACTTTGTTTTAAACACTAAACTTTATGTTTTAAATAATAAACTTTGTTTTAAATACTAAACTTTATGTTTTAAATAATAAACTGTTTTAAATACTAAACTTTTTGGTTATAATAAAAAAACTTTGTTTTGAATAAAAAACTTTAAGTTTTAAATAATTATCTTTTTATGGTTTTAAATAATAAACTTTAAAAGCTTTAGATAATAAACTTTGTTTCTAAGTTTTAAATAAAAATCGATACGTTTTAAATACGGTTTCATGGTTTCATATTTGTCATTCCATCACATGTGGTACATGAGGTGGAACGAAATTGTGTACACAGGGTCTCAGTTACACCAAACAATAAAATGTAAAAGAAAAACAGTATAATAATAAACTTTAACAAATAACAACAACAAATAATAAACTTTATGAGTTTTAAATAAACTTTAAAAGGAAGAAGCAGGTAAAGATGATGGATGGATGTTGCAAATAATAAACTTTATGTTTTAAATAATAAACTTTACAAGTTTTAAATAACAAACTTTACAAGTTTTAAATAACAAACTTTATAAGTTTTAAATAACAATCTTCACAAGTTTTAAATAACACACTTTATGTTTTAAATAACAAACTTTATGTTTTAAATAACAAACTTTATAAGTTTTAAATAAACTTCATACGTTTTAAATAAAATCTTCACAAGTTTTAAATAACAAACTTTGTTTTAAATAACAATCTTCACAAGTTTTAAATAACAAAGTTTATGTTTTAAATAACAAATTTTATACGTTTTAAATAACAACCTTCACAAGTTTTAAATAACAAACTTCATGTTTTAAATAACAAACTTTATAAGTTTTAAATAACAAACTTTATAAGTTTTAAATAACAATCTTCACAAGTTTTAAATAACAAACTTTATAAGTTTTAAATTACAATCTTCACAAGTTTTAAATAACAAACTTTATGTTTTAAATAACAAACTTTATAAGTTTTAAATAACAAGCTTTATAAGTTTTAAATAACAAACTTTATAAGTTTTAAATTACAATCTTCACAAGTTTTAAATAACAAACTTTATGTTTTAAATAACAAATTTTATAAGTTTTAAATAACAAACTTTATGTTTTAAATAACAAACTTT